GAAATCCACAAAGATGAATAATTTTACCCATTTTATTTTATTTTTATAATATTTGAGAAACTTAATTGCTAACAATAATAAACAATGTAGTAACAGGAAGTGTAAAGCGATGAAGCTTAAGAAAGTTTTCACATAGAGAATGAAGAAAGTACTTTTTTACAATTAAATGAGATCTTTATGTCTATAAACAGTAAAAGTTAGATGTTTTATAAAAAACGATACAATACATACAAGTTTTGGTGCAAAGTGTTTTTTTAAATTTCCCGCTGTTTCTTCGCTCCTAGAAATCGTATCGCGATGTTTTATACCCTAAAAATTATAATTGATTACCGCGTACAAACAAACCAACTATACAGCTTTATTTCTTAAGTATAGATACAGAACAATGCAGTCTTCCTTTGAAATTAGACATTTCCATGTTAGACCTGCAAGTGGATCGATCTTGAACGATATTATTAATGTTACAAGACTCGAATCCATGGTCTGCAGCACGTTAACTACTTAGCCTATAGAGTGGAAAACGTTCTTTATTAACTACGAATGTTAAAATACACTTCGATAACGGCGCATCGACCTCACAAAATAATTGGTTCTTATCGCACTTTAAACCAGATTTATTGATTATATTTATTGGTCATTATTTTGTGCGATTATTCTTATCACTAATAATAAATACACAATTTGATTTAACCCTTCTACTAATTATAAACTATATTTCATTTAAAACCTTTATTGAAATAAACTGATTGGTTAGTCTCTGGTCATACTTGTTCATTATAGGAGTAGTTTAAAGGATAGCGATACACGTAAAAATCGTATTTACAGTCGTTGTCTTTAGTTATCAATGCGTTAGTTAGTGCAGTGAGTGGGCGGTACCTAGCCGCGACGTGTACCTAGCCGACAATTTAATCATGTGATTAAATAATATATAGGCGTAAACTGTCAAAATTAACACTTATATGACAGTAACAATAATATTTTATCCTGATTTTATCCGCGCCGTTACCAATATGTTAATTGGGATAAATGTAATAATTTGTCTCCGATCGACATTTTGTCAAAACTTGGGTTATGCTTTAGTAATCCATAATCTCAATTAGTCTAAATAAATATCAGACAGACAATGACAAATTTGATGTGAGCCATTTCGCCGTGAAAGAGCAACAAACAAACATTCAGGTTGTAGTTCTTATTTAAGTGAACGTGTGTAACTTTAACCACTTCGAAGGGTATGAGTACACTTCTGTATTCTACCACATGTGCCCTACCCGAAACCTACGAAAATGCATCTCAGGATTCTAGTCCAATCGATAACGCAATGCCAAACCACGAAGGGAGTATTAGGTATATTCCCAACAGTGGGATAACATCGTTCAGTTATTCTTCAGCAAAACACGATCGTATTGAATAGAAAATTTTCACGCCGAATCCTCTCTCTCAATCGCGTACAGTTAGAATAGGACGGCACGTGTCTGTACAACCGTGTGACGTCACGACACAGCCTTGAATTTAACTACGTTGATAAGAAAACTCATATGGCAAACACTCACCGAATGTATAAATTATTATTTGAAAACAGGTGGAAGCACCAAAAATTTACTCTTATGAAATTAAAACAATAAAGGAGTTTGTTTGAAAGCGCTAATCTGAAGAACTACTGACCCGATTAAAAAAAAATATTATTATGTAGATTATCAATCTATCGAAATTCCCTCCGGGTCACGAACCACTGTCCTCACATGAAATAAAACCGTAAAGTGTTGTCGCGCTTTGTAATAAGTCGACAGCGCATTTTGTATATTTGTTATGTGGCTGGGATATATCACCTTTCATCAAGTGAAGTTTTAAGAGATTACCTTGCTTAATTGGTATGAGAGAGAGGATTTCAAAAAGAGAAAAAGAGAATCTTCCGAAAAGAAATGCAGAGATTATAACTATTGTTAAGTGTTTGTTAGGGCTGTGGCCAAACCCACAACTTTCCCAAAACTTTCGTTACGTGAAGAAAAAAGGTTACTATTTTATAGCCGTAAGATTTGAAGGGTTCAGCGGTTTAGGGGCTAAATTGTAACATACGTACATTGCTAAAAACATTACCCTCCCTTTTGGATTCATAGTCGGTTAAAGAGAGATCTTACCACGCAATTTTATCTCGTACATCTGTCAAAATGAGCATATCTGTGCGGCGATTAGATAAAAAAGGAAAAACATTATGACAAATCCTGACCAGCACGTTGATATTAGTTATAGTTATGTTCCGCGGTGTTACCCGGGTTTTGTTACATACTAAAAGTAATCGAAGTTACTTTCTGCAACAATACACATAAGAAACTGCTTTTTATACATGATATTTGCTCAACTAACAAAAACAGGAGCGTTTTTAACGGTTTCAAACGCGAAATATATTAAACTATTTCTCGCTTTAAACTGTTAAAATTGTTTTAAATGTGATTATTATTCAATAAAACTATTTTAACGGTTTGACACGGGAAGTATGTTAGTAAATTTATTCGTAACTAAGAACCCGAAGTTGACACTTTAATTTCAAACCGCGAAACATTTTCATTTAAAGGCTTCTTAGACCGTTCTAATGGGGGGCTTGGAATAAAACAGGGCTGGGAAAAATATAGGCTGTTTTCAGCTTGAAAAATCTGCTTTTTGATTGCCATAGTATGAACCATGTGTACTGTGCCGTCTGCCCGTGTATTTGACATGCACCTAATATATATTCTGGACTTAACCAAAGCCGTAGACGCGCTGAACACGACGCGATCCGCCGGCGCCGGCGCCGATCCTCCGCGAAGCGGCCTTACCGCGCACCGCTCACTCGAGTGAGTTTCTGTCCAGCTTTCAAAGCAACCACGCACATTGCGGTGGTCTGAGCCGAGGATGTTGACCCCCTCGGGCACCCTTGGTCTAGCCATATGTCAAAACGTTAATTAGTACTGTATATACGTTATAATAGTTCCAAAATATATTTATCTCAATTTTTTTCGTCGTCTCGATAGAGTTTATAATAACCACAGGTACAGATTTAAAGTTTTTAAAGTCTCTTGTTGGGAATTTAGAATTTTGAATGATTGATGTTTCGATTAGAAGAGATAAGGGACAGCTAGTCTATCGTACTCGATAACGATCTTATCTGACTCTTATGAAGCGTAGAAATACAGTAGAAATATTTGAGCGAGTAGGATTTTTCGCAAAAAAAAAGGCAGACAGTCGGGAAAGAAGTAAGAAGTGTTGATAATTTGTAATGTGAAAAACGGAAAAACCCACTTCACCATTTTTAGATCAAAAAACAGACAATTTGAAAGTTTAAAATATGTATCTATGAATTGATATTCTCTGTGGTTTAAATAACACACTTTTGTCCGTTTAAAACGCGAACTATATAAGTTAACTTTTGTTAATTCAATTTAACTAGGGCCCGACGTTTCGTACCGTTTTAACATTAGGGACGCCTACCATCTTTAATCTCACTGTGATCACGATTTCTGCACAACGAGGCGCGTATATTTGGTTCTTCCAAAGTGTCTACACGCACTTACTTATATGATGATCTTCGCCTCAAAAAGAAAGTCTATTTTTAATAACTAAAGGAACATTGAAAATATTTACTTGAAAACTGTCGCCTTATCTTTTACGATTCTTTAAAGTACAATAAGGTACATTAAATGTCGTTCATATTAAGTTGTATTACGTGTAAATCTTCCGTTTATAAATGTACTCTCCTGGCAATACTTTTAAATCACTCTGTACATTTTTGCTATTACAAAATGAAAGGCGTAAATTTTTTAGAAACTTATAATGTACATACTTCGTAGTCAGCATCACAATATTATTCAAGTCAAAATAAAATAGGAAAAGATTTCATTCTAATAAGTTTTAGAGGATTATTAGTGCTTAAAATATGTACACTAATTATTTGCAAAATCAATACAAATATCATTTTAAAAAGTGGTCAAAAAGCAGACACATTTCTGCGTCCTTATGTGTCCGCAATACCTAATTCGCTTTCGCAATGCAGTCCCAACTTGACCTTACGACTATATTTTTAAGAACCCACCGGCGATACAATTAATTTTGAACTCTAGCCCATTGAAATACGGTGCACTTCGCGAATCCGCCGTGTGGCGCAATGCTGTACTGACGTCACACTGCGTACTATAAAATAGGTCAGTGGGTGGCTGGATTACTTTGACACTTGCTGGCTTGGAAACTCCAGCGAACGAGGGGTCTTGATACTTGGTTGGGACTTCTTAGTGTTTAATATATAATAGTCCCTTCCATAGGTCTATTTTATAAAGACAATTTATTGATTATATTTCATGCCACAATAACGCTTTACGGTCGACCAGAGCCGGTTTGATTCCCGGACAGATAAATTTAATCCTAAGTTTTATCCTATCTCGAGACAAATCCGCGACGATGCGGCTGTCCTTGAGTTATAAGGAATTAAAGAAACCCGAAAGTTGTTAATGAGAGTGAAATATTGAAAATAAAACACGTTTTAACTGTTTGAAACGCAGAATAATAATAAAATTAATAGATTAATTACCAAAGGTCGGGGACTAGTAAAAATTATTTACCTAGATTAGTTAATGTGAAATTTAAAAACATTATTTTATATGCATAACATATTAAAAGCTAACTTGGTCAAAGTTGTAAATAAACTTTCAGGTTCTGATTTTGCAGGAATTCTTTCCTTAAACATTGAAATAATACCCTTTTAAGTTCACTTAATAATTCATTAACAAGATTACTACAGTACTATCTATAGTTTACACGATTAGGACACATTCAAATAAAACTCTTTAAACGGCTAAAAACGCAAATAATATTAGTAAAACTAATTTACAATTTATTTTAACATCGTCCCGACCTTTCTGGTTGCTTTGCAGCAGCCGTGGATACACGAACACTTCTGAAACGTCAGGTCGTAGTTAAAATCATACATTTCACGGTTTAAATAGTTTTATTTAAAGATTTCACGTTTGTTACAGGACCGAGGAGGCTTAGACAACATGAGATCCTTAGAACATTACCTAACAGATATCATGAGGGCGGACACTTCTGAACATGTAAAAGGTGAGTAAATAAATTATATGTAGCAGCATTTAAATAAAACACTTTTAATCACGTTATATATTTAACTTATTTAAATACAACCCGAGTTTACATGCTTGGCGTGGTAACGGGGTGACACGGATATTCGTAACGAAGTATGTAAATTTGTAAGTAGACCACGTCTGTTGATAGTGAGTTCGAGTCTCGTTTGTAACATTTTTTTTTCAGTTTTTTCCGGTCAATATCGTAGATAAAGTTCACTTGTTAACGATTATTTCGCTGACTTTTCCTCAATAAAAATGTTACCCCGTCGAGTTCGAACCCACGGCCCATCGGTTTAAACTGGTTCAGCTAAATACACGGATATATCATAATTTGACACAGTTTTGTCTGTCAACTGTACACCGTATTATAAATACCGGATACAATGATATAAACCGTCAGTACTGGATGCGGCATAGTTTAATTTATTTAAATGAATTATAAACCAATTATTCTGATTTACGTCGCATACAGTTACTGTATGAGTTAAATTTTTATATATTTATACGCAAAGCGCGGGCATTTTTCGGCATTCTTGAAAAATCCTTCCATTTACAGTTCGAATTATATTTGTAGGCTATTAAAAATCAGCACTTCGTGTTTTTGATACCCACCGGCTCCAACATTATTCTAATCAATTGATAATGTTTCGAAAACCTGTCGGACTCCGTTTGAAATTTGATTATTAAATGGGCGGTAGGAATATCGAAATTCCGTCCGGGGAACCAAACCACCGTTCACAATTAACAGTCGTAAAGTTTAATCACGTTTCGGTTCCAGTCTGTGGATTTCCGAATATCCAAACAGCGAATCTTGTTTTGACATTATATGGCTGGGGTATTTCACTACCATCAAGTGGACCACCATATACACAAAAAATATCTTAAGTAGGATGGTCTAATCTAGTTTAAGTTATTACCATTAAATGATAGGTGGTATTACGATCGAAAAGCACATCCGATATCTTTACATCTTTGTATATTGCGCAACACAATTGTCGTTTGTCCTTGTTTATTGCGTTGAACTGAAATCGTGTACAGGTGCTAATTTGTATTGAAACGGGGGCTTCAGGAGGATACTTAGGTAACATTTACCGAGAAAGGCTAAAGGCAACAGAGGGAAATTTGGAAAAACGGGGAAAATCTTTGAAGGCGTTGCGAAATCAATGCAAGAAAAATACATAAGATTCTTTCTTAAACGATCTAAAAAATTCATTCGCGACACTATATGGCTATCTTTTAGGATTAACTTGCAAGAACGACGGGACGCCAATGACTTTATGTTAACAGCTATAATTTATGTAGATAAGGCGCAGGTTTGAAAAATAAATTTTGATGCCCAAAATAACTATTTTACGCGGGCGAAGTCGCTGACACAGCTAGTTTCATATATAAGGGTTACTTAAAAAATAAAATATAGATAGAAACGTATTCACAAGTAGCGGGTTTATGCCTATATGTAACAGTATATAGTTATTAACAATACATATGTATCTACAAATTACAATATAAACTGTGTTATGTCATTCAGGAAGTTATTAAAAATAACAACGACAGTACCTAGTTATTATGTAGGGGAAGTACTCTTTCCATTTTACTGTTGATGTAAATAAATGCAGACGACGCAAAATAGTTTAGTAATGACAAAACAATAGAACTTACCTCTTGACATTTTGGTTTGGCTGCAATTTCGCTGTTAAAAATAACTAATACTCACGTGATGTTACTAGCATATTTTCGCGCTAACCGAACGGTTTAAATATTAATTGACATTTAACTAACTCTATAATTCCTCTAAACATTTTAATTTAGTCGTATAACATACATTTATAGCCCGACGAATTCAAAAAGTCATCATAGACACAGATAATAGAGAAAGGACGCTACGTTTAAAATTCGCCGCGTTATAGATAACAAAATGAATCTTTAGTATTTGGCGGCAATCTAAGCGCGCGCGTTGTGCGTATTTTAGAACGCGCTCCGTTCTATTTTTAATTTTTTGGAGTGCAGTGAACTTTTTAATCTGTGTTTACGAAAGTGAGGGAATTAGGTTTGACAATTACGATTTTTTTTCGAATTTGGAACGTGTATTTTTTTTATCGAACTTCGTTTGAGCAACAAACTCACCTGTTATGTTTGTCAAGTACAGTAACAGTTTCAGTAACGAAAAAAAAAACAAAATAATTAATTTAAAATGTTGCCAGTAATATTTCATAATATTTTTATTCGTGCAATCATGTTAAATATTTTATTAATTAAAACAAATTTTACTAAAAAAATTGTTTTCCATAACAATTAATTTACAAGCGAGCTATCGTAATATTATTAATTAACTCTTATTTTACACGATCTATAATTAATAACACTTATTCTTGTATTATGTAGTACTTAGTTTCGTTGACGGAGCTGATTTTAGATATTATCTGTAATCGGTTGAATTATTATTTTTGGTGTTAATCCTTTCATTTGTAAAGCATTTTGGCTGGAACAAAATGACGTATGGGAAATACGTCAAAAGTGGGGAAAATGTATGTAGACTTAGTTGCGCTTGTACAATGACAGATAAAAAATATACAATATCTATAAATGGTATAGATATATTATGTTAATTGTCTGTAGTTTAAGAGAGTAGTACAAATTTAAAGAAGTCACTTAGCTTATTTTAATTTAATTTAACTATGGCTCTACGTCCCTGCGTGACCTCTGCTGCTGAAAAGCATCCGAAACCACCGAAATCGTTTAATTGCGATATACTTATATTCATGATAGAAATGGCTTGAAATTTGTAAATGCTGTTGTTGCTAACCAACTGTACGGAACCCGTCGTACTTAGTCTGTATCGGAACTGGCCGGTTCTTAGTAGTTATTCATATTTGCCAAAGACCGCTATAATCATGCGCAGGTTAAGATACTCTTATCGAATGACTGATAAATTTTTACAACTTTATCTCAACCTGTGACATTTTTTGCAACCTTCTTAATAACCTCGAAATATGGAGCGAGGCTTTATTATGTAGTTTACATAATATTAGAATCTGAAGCAAAAAAGTGTTCTTGACAATTGCTTTTTTACACTAAATCGTAATCTATTTAAAATAATCTAATGTCTTAACAATTAAAAAAAAGTAATATAGATAGAATTCTAAGGTGATATTTGATTATTATATTGTGCTTTACATTTTACACATAATTAGGAGAAATAAATTAATACAAATGTATTCTTCGTAACTTCCTATTCTCTTTTCTAATATCATCTATCGATATGGGGAATAATATGTAAGCTTAATTGATTATTGGTTTTTTATTGTTATTTTTTTGTAACACTTCAATTAAATGGCGTTTGTTACAACATACTTTTATTTATAATATTAGTAAAGATAGATGCGATAGAATTATCATTAATTAACACCCGTTTAAACATTGGCAACTATGAAATAATAGAATTCAGCCGTTTTTGCTAAATCTATAGTGTTTCGCCTCTAGTCGGACATGTATGCTAATTTCATATACCTTTATATAATGAATCTGATTTAACTTTTTTAGTCGGGTACCCTAGAAAGGATTTTATAAACGTGAAGAGCAACGGCACGGCACGTGTTGGTCGAGTTTTCAATTCACTTTACTTTTGTATTTATTAATTGACTATATTAAAATAAAAAACTAAACTACACTATATTAAATTAAAAGAAAATTTATGTCGTTTGCCATCATAGACGTTTAATGTAAAAATTATAAAAATGCAACTGATATGGTCATTAGTTTCGTTAAATTTAATTACCTGTCGTGAAAAATAGTTAAGATTATATTAGATAGAAACGTCTATCGATAGCAGGATGGATTCCTGTTGTGATTTTTTCGTAAACCGCGTATTTACATAAAACATTAGCTTGTTACCTGTCGACGTATTGTTAAGTAAAATTCGACCTTCGTCGTCCATCTTGCGTAACGGTAGTGATGCGATCTTGTTTATCGATAAATTGGCCTCGTCTATGCAAGGGCAGAGACAATTATTATCTCTGCTTCAAATTAGAATACGTGAAATCACGTCGATGACATTCTATTAGAAATGCGTTTGATGTTTATTGCTGTATGGTGAAATATCAATTTTGATAATAATATATTGTGTAAATTTCTTCTTTATGGTATGGGACATAGTAAACGCAATTCCGAATGTATGGTATTGGAAGCCTGAATTTTGAGCTTCTAAATATTCTCTAAATAAATGGCTCAACAAAGATTGGAAGAAGAAATGATTATCAATTCTTATTAGTTAGTGTCTGTGTCAGCGACATCGTCGGCGTTAAATAGTTATTTTGGGCATTTCGTTCGTTTTTGCAAACCCCTATCTTTATTAACTTAAGCTGTTACCTACGACGTCGGTCGCGTCCCCTGCCGTCGTTCTTACAAGTTAATCTTAAAAGATAGACACATAGCGTCGCGGACTTTTCTTAGATCATTTAAAGAGGAATCACTCTTTTATTATGTATCTTGAACCTTTTTCGTAACATAGGCAACGGAAAGCCAGGGATGAATAATGTTCCACGTTCTTTTCACATTTCCCGCTGTTTCTGCCCTCCTACACATCGCATTGCGGTGTTCCGCTCAGATCAAGTTCCTGATATTAGCGCGTTCAAACAAACAAACTCTTTAGCTTTGTATAGTAGTATAGATTCAAAATATACTTCAAACCTTTTCCTTTCTCTTGTATGCGAAATAGTAGCATACAATACTCACACTGCTATGCGCTGTTTTCCTAATGTACCTCTAGTTAATTAATATGACAAAATCCGAGCACGTTTAATTAACGCTATCGCCTTGAAAAGAATCTTAGAAAGTGTTAAGTGGTATTGTCCACTGAATACCAATGAGTCAACCTTGACACGGATTTTTCTAGTTGTTTGTGTATTTTACGGCGTAGGTAATGATTAAATTAGCAACAATATATTATGAACATGCACGTTGCCCTTTCTTTACGCTTTA